TCTTTCACACATACTGTGAAATTATCTTCCAAGTCAGTGACTCTTCTCTCTTTAGATTATTTCCCTGCAATATAAAATCTTATGTAGTAAAGACTGTTGGTATTTCTACAAAGGTCTTCGGTGTGAATAGCCTTTTATTACAGTATCACAGAATAAGTGTTTTATGTTTTACATTGACCACTGTCGATTTAAATTTCTACATCCATTTAAAACATTCCCCACCCCCCCCAGAGGCAGGTATTGTGGCACAGTGGGTTAAGCCGCTGGGACACCCACATTCGATATCAGAGTGTCTGTTTGAGTGTGAGCTGCTCTGTTTATCATGTAACTTCCTGCTAGTGTATCTGAGGGGGCAATGGATGCTGGGCTAACCTCTTGGGTCTCTTCCACCTCTGGGGAAGACCCAGATGGAGTTATGGGCTCCTGGCTTTGGCCTAGCCCACTTCTGGCTGATGCTGATGAGGTCATTTGAGGAGTGAAACACTAGATGGATGAACTCTCTCTCCCTTTCTCTCTCTCTCTCTCATCTCCCTGCCACTGTGCCTTTCTTTTCAATTTTCCTTTTTAGTTTTATTTCTGATGATGTTTACATGGTTGAGAAGAAAGACTGCCCATGTGGATCACTAATTAGGGTGAGAAAGGTCCAGGAATAGGGGATGCTGGCACCGCAGGTAGAGGATCAGCCAGATATCCTACTGTGCCAATCGCTATATTTCCCTCCCTCTCTCTCTCTCTCTCTTTAAGCTTATATTTATATATATATAAAGTCATATATACACAGAGAAGGAGAGACAAGAAGGAAGATCTTTGGTCTGATGGTTCACTCTGCAAGTGGCCGCAACGGCTGGAGCTAAGCCAATCTGAAGCCAGGAGCTTCTTCCAGGTCTCCAGCATGAGTGCAAGGCTCGAAGGCTTTGGGCCATCCTCTACTGCTTTTCCAGGCCACAAGCAGGGAGCTAGATGGGAAGCGGGGCTGCAGGGATTAGAACAGGCACCCATATGGGATCCCAGCACATGCAAGGCAAGGACTTTGTCTGCTACACTATTGCACCAGGCACGATCCCTGTATTTCTTTACTTAACTGTCCCAAAGTATGCTCTTTGTTTTGTTTCTACACATATACACATATCCTCTTGAAAGTTTTGTTTTTTACTTTGGAAATTTGCAAATGTAAATACAAACATAAATCAGGCAAAATTGTAAATATCCTATTTCTCTAATAGCCTTCACTGAATGGTCTTAGCATCCATAAATTACATTACATTGTAAAAATGCATTTTTGCCTTGCATGCACTGGGATCACATATAGGCATTGATTTGTATCCCAGCTGCTGCACTTCCCATCCAGTTCCCTGCTTGTGGCCTGGGAAAGCAGTAGAGAATGAATGGCCTTTTGGACCCTGCACCCATCTGGGAGATCCAGAAGATCCTGACTGCTGGCTTTGGATCAGCTGAGCTCCAGCCATTGTGGCCAATGAAGGGTGAATTAGCAAATGAAAGATCTTTGTTTTTCCTCCTCCCTGTATATCTGCCTTTCCAATAAAAATAAATAGCTCTTTTTTAAAAAGAGGTGCAAAAGTTGTCATTCTTAGTTGTATTGCTTTGTTCTATATTCATTACACAATATCCTTTATAAAAATATTTTATTTGCAAGACAGAGAGATAGAGACTGGGAGACAGAGAGAGAGACTGTCCAACTGCTAGTTTACTGTGCAAATGCCCACAGAGCCAGGAATTGGTAACCCAGCCACTCCAGTGTCAGATGTGGCTGTCTGAAGCAACGTCTTAACCATGTGCCAAACACCTGCTCTTCCCTTGCTCTTATGATTTGTGTATCACTTGGTATTTTTACCTAGAAATCCAAGGAGTTTTCCTGGACATCCAAGAAAATGTCATATTTAACAATTCTGAGTTAATCATCAATATAATAGAGTATACGTCTCCAATTTATAGGTTCAGGATTTTACAACCATTTAAAGGTTATATTAAGTTATAGTTCTGAGTGTTGGTCTTTATTCATTATCTTTTTGGGGGAATTTAAGTATAAATGTGTTAGGTCTTCCTTTCTGCACCTTTCTGTTTTTTACTTAGTTTTAATCATAGGAAATTTTCCTGCCCACTTTTCCATGTTTCCTTTCTATTCCATTAAATATATTCTTGCATATATTTTAATAGCATTTTAAAAGATTTGCTTATTTATTTGGAAGGCAAAACAACAGAGGAAGAGACCAAGAGAGAGGAGGAAGCAGGAAAATGGAAGGAAGAAGAAAAGGAGGAAGAGAGAGGTATTTTCCATTTGTTGGTTCACTCTCCAAATGGTTTCAACAGCCAGAGCTGGGCCAGGACAAAGCCAGGGACCAAGAACTCTATCTGGGTCCCCTACATGTAAGTGGCAGGAGCCTAAGTACCATCATTAAATTCTGAGGGGCATCAGCAGGAAGCTCTATTGAAAGCGGAGCAGCCGGGACTCAAACCAGCACAGAAGCACTGCATGGGCAAGCAGTAACATAACCAACTTTATGCCAACACCTGTGGATTTCAATTTCATTTTTTTCCTTCATTCTCACTCATGTGTTCGCTCAACCTTTTTCACATCTTTTGGCCCTTTTTATTCCACATTTTACTCCACGTATGCGAACTTGATTGGAGGTGTTCTTTTATGTCTGTCATTGCTATTTAATATTCTTTGATTCATACTGGCCCATTTGTACTAGTTTTCTCTGCTTTGAGTCTTCGGTGGTTTTATTAGCTGAACAAATCTTATTCTCTATTTTCACTTGCAGATTATTTCATGTGGATGCTATCTGCCTTTCTTTCTTCAAAGTTATTGGGGTTTCCTGGGTCAGGTGTTTCTACATAGAAGTTGGATGACTGAAGTAGCTTACTAGGTTTCTTAATTCAAGGGCACCCTCTTCAGTTGGTATACTGACTTGCAATTTCTTCCATTACCAGCCTCTACTTTCGGAAAGAAAATTAAGGGGAGTTTAATGTCTTAGATTTTATCAGATTTTGTTTCTGTTGGACTCTTAATTTGAAACAACATATTTCTTTTTCCTTCTTCAAAAACAAATTTCCAAGAGATGCTGTTTCCTTCTAAGGTTCCAAACAGGTGCACTTTCAAGCCCCTTCAACCTTCTCCCTCTGCCTCCCATTCCAGGATGGCTATTCTTGTCATTTCTGCATTTATTGTAGGACTCCCTGGAAACTCATTTCCATCTCTTCCCCCCACCCCAAGTCATTCCTGCTTAACTCTTCACTTCCAAAATAGCTCCACAGATGGTTGTGCCGATTTGATATTTACTTTCCCATTTGCATTATTCAATTTGCTTGTTAAGTTGCATGTATGGGCCAATTGTGATTCCATTTGTTGTCTTCACTGATTTGCAATTTCAGGTTTAGGGATCTGTCATTGTCTTCAGAGGTTCACTGATGAACCTCAATTTACAAATGATAGTTATATAAACTCTAGAGAATTGACCTGTTGTGCTGACTTCACACTGGGAAGACATATCAAGGTTTTTCATTTAGATAAAGTGCAAAAGACAGTTCATTCAGTCTCTAAGTAATTTTAGCTTGTCATAAGTAATTTTAGCTTGTTCCTCCTCCCCACAACTGTGTTGAATTTATAGAAAAATTCCACATCATGGTGAGTGTACATGAGCAAAATGTCCAGGACATTCGGTATGATCCCATGGCTAGTATGTCCTGTTTGTGATGATTGATGTACTCAGGATGATTGATGAATATGAGTGAGTCTAGAGTAGTCAATATATGTAGCCATTATTGTGAACAGTCATGACTCTGCCCTGACTGGCACTGCACTATTAGATCCACATGGTCCTATATGGTAGAGGAGACAGAAATGCAGGATAGAAACTCCTGATGGGATGACTTCCCATCTGTGCACAAGAGCCCTTCTCAGCTTGTCTAATGGACTGCTCAGAGCATCCTGGCTAGGAGAAAAGCTGTATGAGATACCCACCACCGTTCAGACCCTCCAGTAGGTAGGGCTCCCCAAGGCATACCTTGCGTACTGGTGAACAATGGAGAATTGACTGAAGTCCTGCAGTATCTTTGAGTCAATAAGAACAAGCAACAACAATTGGTGAGTGCAGGAGCTGCAGTGTTCATTATGCCACTAATGGGGTGGGTGATCCTGAGTAATTTTTCTGAGCCTTGGGTTTATCAAGTGTAACTTATGTATAGGTGCTTGGCCTATGTCTGTGCCAAAGTAAACCTCAATAAATTTTGACTGTTGTCTTCTATTACGGACAATAACAGCTTATGTGGTCATCTGCAAATAAGCACCTGATTTCATTTTATCACTGATGCCCACCTATTCATTGGCTGAAATTAATATGGACACTATCTCAACAGTTGAATTCTGAACTTTGGTAAGGGTCAGGGGAAGGTATCTTCAGTGATTGAAGTAGATAATGTTCTATAAATCCTACCTAACTCTACATGAGTGTCAATGCTAGAAAATCCTGACCACTGTGCCCCTATTTCATAGCCTATCGAGTAGCCAGGACCTTTCCACTTCCTCTCTAATCTGGAAATCCCAAATTGCCCCCACAAAGATATGCTGTTTGACCTGCTCAATGTCTTTTGAAAATTTTAAATCGCAAAATAAGATTTCTTTTTTTTTTAAGATTTATTTTTATTTTTTTTTAATTGGAAAGGCAGATATACAGAGAGGAGAGACAGAGAGGAAGGTCTTCCGTCCGATGATTCACTCCCCAAGTGAGCGCAACGGCCAATACTATGCCAATCCGAAGCCAGGAGACTCTTTCGGGTCTCCCACGTGGGTGCAGGGTCCCAAAGCTTTGGGCCGTCCTCGACTGCTTTCCTGGGCCACAGGCAGGGAGCTGGAAGGGAAGCGGGGCTGCTGGGATAGAATCGGCGCCCATATGGGATCCCGGGCATGCAAGGTGAGGACCTTAACCACTTGCGCCACCGCGCCGGGCCCAAAATAAGATTTTACATAGAAACAATTTCTGGTGCTAGCTTCAGCAGCACGTCTACTAAAATTGGAACAATACAGAGGTTAGCACAGCCACTGCGCAAGGATGACATGCAAATCTGCAATGCATTCCATATTTTTCCTTTTCACTGAACACAGGAAAGAAAAGTGGTAAAAATCAAGTCCTCTTCGAACAAGGGATGTATAAGCCTTGGTTGTAATATTGATTTTGATTTTGCTGTTCCTGTAATCCATGGTTCAGCTGAATTTGGTTATGGGGGTTAATTGCTGGAAACCAGATAACCTTTGGCAGTGCCAAATCAAAGCTGACAAGATCTAACATTGCAGTGGGCTGCAGAACTGGAATATTTGGCTATACACTAATGTCAATAACAGGACAGAATCTGCAGGATCACAAAATATCTTAGATTCTTAACACTTCAGCAAACTTTGCTTGGACATCAGGCACCAAATGCACTCATTTTGGCATTGCAACTAAGTATCAGCTGGTCAACAATTCTACTTCAACTTGAGTGGGTTACACGCAGACTGGGCCTGTAGTGAAGCTTACCCTGTCTGCTCTGGTTGACAAGAGCATTAATGCTGGAGGCCACAAACTTGGGCTAACCCTAGAGTCCAACTGAAAGAAACCTCTGGGAATCGATCTCTGAAGATTTGGCCTTAATATATTTCCAATGTAACAAGCAGGGAGGTGATCAAAACAAAGGATGATTCAAACAAGAGCTGCGTTTTAAATATTTAGACAGTTATTTGTTAGCTGGCATCTAGTTAAATTGGTTATAGCTCTAGTAACCAGCATTGTAGTTAGTGTAGCCACCTATACATCATTTAAATATATTTAGCTATTGAGTGTGCTACACACCAATAATGAAATAGATCTTTATGGAAACAGAAAAACACTTCAAATTTCTCTTGCCTAACTGGATAGTTCACACAAGCTTGGGTCACAATTCCCAAAATGGCAGCAACTGGCCAGATCTGAGAAGTGACACACTCCTCAGACAATGCCACATTCCTAATGTCTCCTGCTATTCCCAATGTCTCGCTTTCCCTCCCATTTCAGTCATTTTCCGTGTCTAACTTATTTCGTGAGGACAGTAAACATCTTAACCCAGACCAGTGGTAGGGTTAGTTTTATTAATGCAAACCTGATGTCATTTTCTGGCCCCTAGACTATGCTTTCTGCCACCAACCTGCTAAAATGAGGATCTTCCCAATTCTCTTTTTACCTCCCCAGTCCTGCCTCCAACCGGCATACATATGCACATTTCTCCACATGTACCCTTTCCTTCTCTTGGGATCTTTCACATCACCTAGATTAAACAGTAAGTCCTTTCATCTCTTGTTGGCCAGCCAATGGACTGTCCTCAATGATACATCAACAATGCTGTATAGTGTTACCTAAACACATGTTCATTCTCTAGAACTCTGTAAGAAACATGGGTCTTCTTTTTTTATCCCTAAAGTCTAATGGTGCTTGCTAACAAAATCAAAGCTATACATGGATTGCCTAGTCCTGGACCCAGGTGTATCTGTTAACTTTGAGCCAGATGATGCTGTGCTAACAAGGCTACCAAAATCTCAACAGCTTATAATCTCAAAGGTGTTTTCGTGCACATGGCACACCTGCCACAGACTGGCTACATCTCTGCTGCAAGTGACCACTTCAGGATCCAGGTTGAAGGGGAGGCCCATGGGACTGACAGCCTCATCGCAGGGTAAAGAAAATGGCAATAATCTGTGGATCTTACACCCTCTGTTCTGAAGCAGCAGTTTGATCTGTTGACCAAAACAAATTTTTGTGTAACCATAAAGTCAACAAGACAGAGATATAAAATCCTCCTGCAAGGATGAGGCATGACTGTCTTGATACTTCAGCATACTTCACATTTTTCCATCCAATGCAGCTTCTCTATACCAGGGTATGGCATGGAAGCCTCGAGAATTGGCTTGTCCAGCTACTGATGTTAGCTGGTATCTGGCTGGAACCAATTAATGAGAAGCCCCCAGAGGTGGTAAGGAAGCGAGTATTTGCAAGAGGCCAGGGAATGTGTCTCCCCTCTCATGACCTCAGAAAACTTTGCTTGCAGAGGCTGCATTTCCTCCACAGATGCAGCTCCCATCAGACAAGTCGGCTGAATAACCTCTGGTATCTGAGCTGGGAGTCCTACCATGTAAACCCCTCATCTGTGAAACAAGGCAAGAATCTGTTCACACCACCCACAAAATTAAGCAATTGGCATTAAATGCTGCCCAAATAAGAAATGTCAGGGTATGCAGAAATGGATATGGGATCGACACTGCTGGAATAAGGATTTTGTATTGCTGCCAACTCTCACCTTAGCCACCTATCTATGTGTGTCTTATTTTCCTCATCTGAAAATTGGAAATAACACTTTTGGTGATGTCATGGTTATCGAGTGGCATAAATGAGTGTTAAATATGAAAATGCATAAATGAGCCAGTTAAAGAATTCAGTTATAAGCAGGGGGAAAATTCTTTATTTCTATCAAATTGAAAGTATGAATCAATCTTTAAGCAAGATCATCAAAATCATCAATAATACAAGTAGTACTTAGGAGAGCACATACTACAGGTTAAGAAGCACAGACACCAAGACTGAGCAGGCCAGCAACTGCCACATGGAGGGGTAGCACTGACATTCATAGGACTGCTGGGAAAGCTGACACCTCAGGGAGAGTAGACCAGATGCTGCTCACACAGGGTCCACTGGACCACCACCAGCACTCAACAATCCCCCCACAGACCTGTGCACCTCCAAGTGAGAATATGTAAAAATTAGTAGTACAAAGTCTCAGAAAACTAGAAAAGCCCTGCAAACACTGAAGTCCTTGGAAACTACATGAAGACCGAGTTTTTCATTATCCTTCCCCATACTCTTCTCTGACTTGATAGCCAAAGTTTTAAGAAGAAAGGTCTTACAACTACTTAGACATACACCAACCCCAGGAACAATGTTCTAGGTGGGATACTGCTTGGTATAATTTTAAGAAAAAATTGACTGTGCTTGGGGTCACCCTAATTATTACCAGAGGAAGAATTCATACTCATGTCCTATAAATGTTTTCACCTTTTGCACCCATCTCTCTTTCACATTCAACACACACGAACATACTGAGGCACTCCTTGAAGTATACAGATGATATTTATTCTGGCAAGAATTGGGCAAATTGGGCCCTGCGCGGTGGCGCAAGTGATTAAAGGTCCTCGCCTTGCACGCCCGGGATCCCATATGGGCGCCGGTTCTAATCCAGGCAGCCCCGCTTCCCTTTCAGCTCCCTGCCTGTGGCCTGGGAAAGCAGTCGAGGACGGCCCAAAGCTTTGGGAACCTGCACCCGCGTGGGAGACCCGGAAGAGGCTCCTGGCTTCGGACCGGCACAGCATCGGCCGTTGCGCTCACTTGGGGAGTGAATCATCGGACCGAAGATCTTCCTCTCTGTCTCTCCTCTCTGTATATCCGCCTTTCCAATGAAAAAATAATAAAAATAAATCTTAAAAAAAAAAAAAGAATTGGGCAAATTGTTACATGAAAGATAAGTTCTGGCATTATGGAACAATTTTAATTATGTCTGATCAGATGCAGGAAGCAGGTTTTTTTTTTTCATAGTTGAAATACAGCTCCATTAACATCTGGGTTTACATATTTCTCATCTGGAAACCAGGCTGGGTCAGTTATTCATGAGAAGGGGACAAATCACATTCTTTTACTAAAAGAATTATCTGTTACTGATTCTTCTTTCGAGACACCACATAGACCAGGTTACTGAAAACAGAGGAAGGAAACTATTAATGCTGTGCATAGAACTCGAAGATTGCCTCTGCAGCCTAAGCTACTGAAGTAAGGAAACAGTGAGGAAATGAAATTCCTCGAGGGGATGTGATTGGCACCCAAGATCCTGTAACCAAGCAGAATAGACAGGAGGCCTCTTGGCACCAAAGTTCCAGAAGCAGATTCTAGGATAAAGTAAGTATCTTGCTGAGAACAGGGAGCTCAAACTAGCAAAGTTTAAAAAAAGAAACTTTTACTCTCCAGACTAAACCCTATATGTACATAAGAACATGCTTAATTAAATAGGATTGTATTCGTTTTTAAATGTATAAGGTAAAACAATTGAAATTGCTGCCAAGTGAACCCCAGACACATAGACAATGCATGTGATGCACTTAGCATGGAGAAAACAACTGCAAACGCTCATGCTTTAACTTGCAAAACCTGGAGTCCGTATGATTAAAGCAATGGTATCCAGTAACTTTTTGACAAGCAAATCGAGTCAAATATTGAGTTCATGTGCCAGTGAGTCCAAATGCACAAATGCAATACTTGTGGTTTGCACAGGTCTTCTAGTTAAAATTATGCATGGTAGGTAGCATTCTGCCCCCCACGCCCCTTGGCTAATACTAGAGCTTCTTTGAGCTTGGCTGCTAGAAGGTGGCAGGAGAGCAATCCCTGGGGAAAGACAATAACATAGTAAGCAAAGTCTCCCCAAGGTTGTCACCAACATTATGCAGAATAGAAACATGGGCAAATTGTGGAATCTGACATCCAAAATCATAGTCAAGTACAATGAAACTGGACTTCAGTGTTCAATCACCATTTCTCTAACTACTAGAGGGCTGGGGAAGGGTCAAACTCTGCCTCTAGCAGCTTGCTATGCTATAAAACACAGGGTTGAAAGGTACAGTCTAACCTCGGAGCATGCCCTACATCCGGGACCTGGGATGGATGGGAAACTGGGTGGGCCTTCTCCCTTAATATCCTCCTTTAAACATGAAGGAAACAATATGGAAATAATAGTCTTACCCACTTTCCTACAGCCCTTGAACCTTTCTACCCTAATTAGCTATGTAAAGATAGTCAAAAATATAAAAAAGGAAAAAGGTGCAGTCTTACACACCCTGGTGAATGGCACTTCATGCTAGTCTTGATGTGAGGCCACAAGTAAAGGCAAACACACTGAAGTCTGGCTTCTTTGTGATAACACATGGGTAGTTAACAAGAATAAACTTCTACAACAGGAAAACCTAGGGTAAGTCCCAAGATATATGATCCCAGTGGAGCAGCAGCCTGGGCACTTAGACAAGAGGCTTTGTATGCCTGGTCCGTTACTATGTGGTTGAGCACAAGATCCTGCCTATTTCACAGGATGCTAAAAAGACTCCATGAGAGAAGTGCACACTTTGCTGAGCAAAGCTTCAGTAAAAAGTAACTGTTTTAAGTTTGCCTTAGTGTTAGAAAGTAAAAAGCAGACCAGGGCTTTCAAGCGGAAAGACTGATGGGGCCATGGAAAGCAAATTAAATCAACAGTTGAGCAGATGGCAAATGTGGGGATACTATATCCAAACCACTCATTTTGCTTACTCATAAAGGGACTGCATGGAAGGCATTAGGAGGAAAAGCAGGGCAAGAATATCCCCTTACTCTGTCAAATTTTCAAGATAATTTTAAGTTTCACAAAATCACTTAGGAAAGGTTAGAGGCCTGAAGAAAGTTAGAAACATGCAATTTCTCTGCTTCATTTAGCAGGACCTTCAACTGCCAGGCAATTGCAGCAGCAGAAAAACTCCTACTGAGATGTAGTAAGCCCTGGTTGGAGAGGAAGGGGCGGATGGATGGAGCAGGAGAGCAGATTCACGGTCAGGCCATTTCTCACAGTCCAAAGCTAATGTGTGCTATGGCATATCAGCTTGTTATAAAGAGAAACGAAGAAAACAAGCGTTTTCCTCTTATGATGTAGTCCCATAACAGTGAATCACTCTGAAGTGTGGAATTTTCTTCATCTCACATTTGTTTCTCTATACCTGGTCTGCCAGGAAACCTGAGCTTTATGTATGTCTCATCTTCACCCTCGCCCAATCATTGCATTGCATTCAAATGTAGCTCTTCCAAAGTGCTGAGTTAAATACAATGCATGTTTCATGAACCTGAACTGGGTATGTTCACTGCACAGCCATTTCACTATGATTGGAAGGATGAGGCAGGTCCTCATCCCTCTGAAGGTAGCTGAAGGAGGTCCACCTGGAGTGGGACTGGAAGGAACTGCAATGATAGGAAGTATTTATAAGGAAGATGCCTATGGATCTTCCTACGGAATAGGACTAATGTGTTGCAACATCACCTGACAGGCTGAAATGGTTCGTTTTCTCACAAGAAAGGATGGCTCTCTCGAAGGGACAGTCAAGATATATGCAGAGGGATACATATTTTCAAGGGAGAAGGAATAAATGTTACTTTATAAAAATCACTCCCTATAGGGGAGTACGAATTATACAAGGTAACCACCAATAGACACCAGGCAAGTCTTGTTTTATTCATATTACATTAATAAACATTGCTAGACTTTATGGCCACCCCATTCGAAGCATCTTTCGAAGCACCTTTGGAATGAGGAACGGGATTTTGTTTTTCTGTAATTGTAGAGCGGTCGCACTCGGCTCTAAGCATGGCTAATGCAATGTTCTCCTCATCCCCACAGGTTCAGTTCCCTTCACCAACTATTCATAAGTTTCAGTCACTCAGGGATAAACATCATCATATGTAGCAGCATTTTCAAAACACAATTAGCTATTAGTCCAGTAATTCCATACGGTTTTATTTCTATTCTGAGATCTTTATGAAGGTGGACGTTCACCCCGCCCTTTTAAGGATTCCTAGAAGAGTTATAGGCGTATAACTTTTTCACAGTAAAAGGAGAATCTTCGCGCTCATGAGGCCATGCAGCGGTTTAAGGGAGACAGTTTGCACAGCTCATTTGCACAAAAGTAATAAGAGCCACGGTGACAGAAAATACAACTCTTAAAATAAAAACTCTTCAAAACAAGTACAATTCAAAATGGTTTAATCTAAAAGTTCCAAAAAGCAAAGATTCTTTGGAGCATGGATGCCGAGAAGGAATCACTCTTACTCAGGAAAACACAATCAGAGAATCACCCACTGAGAGCAACAGTTTCAATTCCATTGTCATTAGGACAACACATCCGCTAGTACCTGAGACAAAGCCTGGGACGCATCACATGTGGTTCAACAACCATGCGGCATGGGAAAAACCAGGAAATACTACCATTGTGGGTAAAAGGAGGCTGCTATGGCAGCAAGACAGTCGTCAGAAGTCAGCTGGAGCTCAGGTTATTCACCGCCTCAACACCAGCATACACTTGCTTCCTTGGGAAGGGCTGGCCACATGTGGAAGGAGACACTTCAAAGCCAGGAGGGCCTCGTTGTGAACTCTTTGTACTCAATCTTCCTATCGCTTCACCATGTAAACTAGAAAAGATGCTGGAAGCTATCGCAGCTAACTTCTAAGTTGGACACGGCACCAATACTACAGACACAATTGAATGAATGACCACATCTTCCTGGTTCTTCCACTGAGCAAGCTCAGAATGCCTGTCTGCATTTGATAGGTGTGATCTTGTTTGAGAAAAGTGTGTAAACATAAGGCCATATTTTATTAGTCTCCGTTCCCGAAAACTGGTGGAGCACTCCTCGGCTCCTGAAAAACAAAGTCCAACAAAAGGCACGTTAGTTTTTTCTTGAACTTATCAGGACAGGAAGAATCTGTACGACCAAAATGATCTTGTAGGATATAGCACACATCCCTGAGCGTCCCAATAGTCCCCTTCAGATGTATGAGCATCTCCATTGGATGGGACACACTTTTGCAATGTCATACTTGCCATGATGCTACCATTTTTCCCCTCCCCTTTAAAACATTATAAGGGGAATCCCAAATCGGATCTCAAAAGCAAATCACTGAGAGAACTGGTTAGTCTTGAACACTCTGTTTCTCATCCAGCTCCGTGCTGGAAAAGTCCATGGAAAAGTCAGCACAAGATGGTTCCCAGAGTTTGAACCCCTACACCCAGATGGAGTAGGGGGACCAGGACTGAGTTCCTTACTTTGGCTTCCTCCTAGCCCAAACACTGTTGTGGTGGCCATTTGAGAAGCAGAAGTCTGTCTCTGTCTCACTCACTCACTCACTCACTTGCTCCCTGGTTTTCTGCCTTCAAATAAATCTTTAAAAGACCATATTGTTTGGGGGCTACCAAGTCTGAAGATGATATCAACTGAGGAGATAAAGTATTGTTAAAATGTATCAGCATATGGTTTTATTTGGCTCGCAAATTTTCAATTTGTTGACAACAAGAAAATTTTTCCATACAGAAAGCCAGATTTCTACTTTTCAAAAAAGCACAGATCCTTGGCCAGCCACCTCTGTGTGGAAGCGATTGATACATCTCCCACCAGGTGTAAAACTCAGTTCTAATACCTATCTGTATCTGTGATCTTTCTAACTCTCTATATCTTCTGCCCCAGTTATCCACATGCAGGTGTGTCAAAATACAGACCATTATTTCAGCCAAACAAAAAAGGAAAAGGAAAACGACTCTAAATGCAATTTTATATATATCCAGGGTAAACATAGATGCTCAAGTTTAAGTAATTGTGTTCTGAACGGTTTCAGGACAAACATGACTTTCAGCTCCCATGTCTAGCTGTAGGGACACTCACTGGGCCTTGAAGTCTGTTGGGCTTAAGGACCTATCACCCCACCTCAACTCCATGTCCTCCCTGGGAGTCATCCACTCACTTGTATAGCTCAATGACTGGCTTCGCAGAATCCTTATACCGTCTTAGCCGGGCAGCAACTGCTTCAGGCTTATCTTCCTCTTGTTGGATTAATGCTTCACCAGTGATGTCATCAATTCCCTACAAAAACCAGAGGGATTGAGTCAGTGTGCCAAGAGCAAAAATACCCCATTGATCAGAATTTTCCATGCAGAACCACATATTGACCAAGCCTGGGCGGCAGGGGAGGAGGGTGGGAGGCACCCAACGATATGCCAAACTTATTTCCTGCAAACTAACATTCAATCTTTATGAACTGCTGGGATCTTGCTAAACATGCCATATCACTGTTGCTAAATGACTTTTTAATTCAATTTAAAACCCCATGCAACTTCCCCCAGCAGCAAACCTTTAGCTGAAGTCATTCTAGCCCTGTAAAACTGTCCATATAGCCTTGCTGAACCCCAAGTTCTTAGCAAGAAAAATTATCCCTCCCATCTTGGTTTCCACAGTCATGTTAGTACTGCCTCTGCCAGGTTACCAAACCTATACAGTGTGGCCTGCCAACAACAGCCAAGTCTAGAACACACTGAAGCCCATAGCTGAATTCAGACCTCCCACGTACGTGGCTGAGGTCCGAGTACCTGGGCCGCCTACTGCTGTCTCCCAAGGGTCTAGAGTCAGGAGCTGGAGCTGGGCAGCAGGCTCAGCTATTCTGATAAAGGACATGGATATTTTAATTTAATTTCCTTTGTCTCCCCATTGCTGATTTTGAACCATTTTGAATAAAGCTATAACACCTACTAAAAAAATAGTGTCTGAAAATTTTTTTAACCGAAATATTCCACCATGAGCTAGTCAGTCTATGAAATCATATGTGTGTTCTTACATGCACATGAGGGGGGTTGAAGTCCATATTATACACTCTTCCGCTGGGAGGGTGAATCCAACGACGGCTGAGTCGATCTTTCAATGTCTCAAATGGAATGTTCAAAGTGATCACTAAATCCAGGTCACACAGTTTGTCTAGAGCTTCAGCTTGTCCTAATGTCCTCGGAAAGCCTAAATGCAAATAAAACCACCCCAAAAAGCATGTTTAATACTGCCCCATTCCAGTGTTCTACAATGGCAGACTCAAAAGATGAAGGTGTCACATTATAAGTGTACAAAAGGCAAACTACCAATCTAATATACCAATTTAATAAAAGGTCCTGCTTTCACTCCAGTTCTGCTCTTAGGCAAGTTACATCTCCTCCATTTCTGCCTCTGTTATTTATTTTTATTGCAAAGTCAGATATATACCGAGGAGGAGAGACCGCGAGAAAGATTTTCCATCCAAGGATTCGCTCCCCAAGTGACCACAACTGTGCCGACCTGAGGCCAGGCGCAAAGAAACTCCTCCTGCTACAGGTTTCCTATGTGGGTGCTGGGTCCCAAGGCTTTGGGCCAGTATTTGACTGCTTTCCAAGGCCACAAGCAGGGAGCTGGATGGGCAGGGACTGATGTCAAAGCAAGTTAGATGCACGCCCAAATTTCATCAACAGGTGGCAGCATTTATAATTTTTCCTTCAAGACTGAACAATAAAATTCGATCCTTTTCCATTAACTCAAAGTAACCTCCTAGACAGGTTTTCTGAATGGCTGACCAACAGTATTCCAGTCCCCTAAATTAGATGACCTGTCACAAATAAATTTATAAATATAATTGCAATAGTTAAAGTAAAGCTCATTTTTGAATCCAGAAGGTTTGCTGCAAATGGACAGTTCTAGGTACGGTTCCCCAACAGGAGGACAAAATCTCCATCCCACCTTCTTTGCACAACACTATTCCTACTTCTCATCCCTTAATTTGGCCTAGATTTCTCCAGAATCAGTTGCACTATTTCCCTCCAACAAGAAAAAGATGTAATAGGTGTTAGAGCCAGCTGCCAGTGAAGTAGGTATCCACACGGATGCTAGTTCTACTTTCCATCCATCTCCTTGCACCTGGCAGAGGATGCCAAGTGCTTGGGTCCTCATATCCACATGGGAGACAGAGAGTTCCAGGGTTCTAGCTTCAGTCTGGCTGAACCCTGGCCATTGCTGTCATTTGGGGAAATGAACCAAAGGAAGAAAAGAGGAAGTGAGAAGTATAAAGGTATCCAATCATTTTGAAAGATAGGTATATACTGTCCATCTGCTGCCTTGAACAGCCCGTGCTAGGCTGAAGCCAGGAGTCTGGAATGCAATGCTTCCATGTGTGTGGCATGGGTCCAACTGTAGACATTGCTTTCTCCTGGGTGTACAGTAGTAGATCGCTAGGACTGGAGGCAGGGCCGGGATTTGACACCAAGCACTCTGAGGTGAGATACAAGTCTCCCAAGCAGTATTTCAGATTCTATGTCAAGCACTAATCCTGAATAGCAAACATGTCATTTTCTCATGAGTTTTTATTATCAAAATGTTAATCTCAAACAACTGCTTCAGTGTCAAGGCCTATATATAAAAGCATTAGTAAAAATAAAACCACTATCTACCAGTTGACTGCACCAACAGCTAAAATGATCAATGATAATCAACTCTGATTCTAAGTCCATGCTTTTCCTGCCACACTAATGTCAGCATGGTGCTTTGTGTACTGTAAGCACATAGGATTTTATTATTAAACCAGCACTGTATACCTAAAATGGTTTGGATGCAATAAATTTTCCTGGGGCTGGCACTGTGGCATAACAAGTCAAGCTGCCACCTGCAGTGCCTGTAACCATGTGGGTGCCGGTTCAGAGCTAGCTGTCCCATCTAGCTCCTTGGTAATGTCTCCTGGAAAAGCAGAAGATGGCTGGCTCAAGTTCTTGGGACCCCACACTCATGTGGGAGGCCTTTTGAAGCTACTAGTTCCACACTTCAGTCTGCCCCCAGCCTTTTGAGGCCATTTGGAGAGTGAACCAGTGAATGTAAAGTCTCTGCCTCTTTCTCCAATTCTGCCTTTCAAAAATAAACCTCTTAAGAGGCCATCATTGTGGCTTAAGTGTCTGCCTGCAGTAAGCACATCTCACCGGGGTGCCGATTCACAACCTTGCTGCTCCACTTCCATCTACCGCTCTGCTGATGGCTTGGGGAAGCAGCAGAGGATGGCCTAAGCGCATGAGCTCCTGCACCAACATGGAAGACTTAAGAAGCTCAAGACACTTCGCTTCAGGCCTGCAGGGTTCCTCTAGCTGTTAGGACAATTTGAGATGGGAACCAGCATGGAGAAACATGCTCACTTGCATTATCTCTTTCTTACTTTCCTTCTATAAGTAAATTTTCATATCTCTTTTAAAATAGACAAGACAGGTTATACATCCATGTGAGTCTTATTACTGTGCAGAGGGTCGAGGTATAGAGGAAGGTGGGTGGTACAAAACCATTCATCATTCCACTAAGCCACTGCATCTCAGCTCACTCACCTACTTGCAAGAGCAGTAACCTGGTCTGTGAAGGAGGAAGCCAGAAGTCATCTCTTCCCTGTCAAACTTGCCCTCAGCTGTTCTCACTCCTTTGTGCCCCCAGACCTTCTTCCTGGGGAAATCTGCAGCTCCCCAAACTGGGGTCCTAGCACCCACCCTTCCCCATATATCTTTTTAAAAATAGAATAGGCAACTATGCTAGCACACTGGTATTAACACACAAACTTGGTATTAACCAGGCCCACCCTGCCCACCAGCTACTGGTTATTTTCTTAATATTTGCATAGGTACAAAACAACCTACCTAGGTTGCCTAATCGGGGAAACAGACTCTCTAGATATCTAAACTTAGTAGCTTCTATGGGCTGGGTGAATCTGAAAATATGCGCAAAGGCAGAGAAAGTACAGTTTAATGTTCAAAGTGTACATAAATCTAACATTTTTAAACATTGGAAAAAAGTTAAAAATTAAGCTGTCCACACTGTCATAGCTCTAACCCTTGTCTTTAACTTCCTTCTGTTTTTTTAATAGACTTTGACATGTATTCAATTGTTTTTTAAATTTGTAAAGTCCCCACCCACTTTTCTAGCCATCAGCTCATATTTTTTTTGCTGCAGGATCATCCTGTGGTTAAAACGTATGGTTTCCATAACACAGTGTGTGGTTTTCATGCCTCTCCAGCTTTGCACCTCTAAGACAGCTCTGGGTGCCACTTTATCTAGGAGACCATCCTAACACCATTTTCCTCACCCCAAAGGAAGGTGTGCCACTTCTTCCTCTATGCCAGCCCTCATCTTTCACACTTGTCATTGCTTTCTTTCAAACCTTGTGCTACATTTGTTTCCATGGTCCTTTTCAACTAAGGGCAAAAAGCAAACTCCCTCTCAGGACCAACAATTTGATTTTTTAATGCTTAAATAAAGCTTTTCTAAGGTCCACTGAAATATTTTAAAGGCATGCTTCCTATATGGCCCTTGATGTTTTCTTGTTTAAATAAAGCCTTTCTCTGAAGACACATACAGACCATCCGTGACCATAAATAGGACACATACGATAACTACTGCATAATCAACACCTAGAGATACACTCAACAGGCTAGGTGCTATGGACAAAGGGCCCCCTATGAGGGGAGTGTGTTATGATCCAGGTCAGAAGTCACCAAAATGTGTCTTCACACTCCCACTGAGAAATAGTTGTTTTTCCTGTCACTCAACTACAGTAGCTTTGTTCCAAACAACATCTGTCACCTGCGTTTACGCAGCACACCACTCAAGTGGAGATTAATCACAAAGTCTGCAAAGAATTAGCAGAAACATGCTTTTCAAAACTTTTGAACCAAAATAAGACTGTTAATTCAAGTTTTCACACTTGAGAAGATTTAATATTTACCAATCATATGATAAGCAGGGGCCAGCATCATGGCATAGAGGTTAAAGCTGCCATCTGCCATGGAAACAGCCCATATGGGCACCAATTCATATCCCAGCTTCAGATCAAGAGTCCTACTATCTAAGATTAAGCAAAAAAAAAAAAAAATGACCAGAGCACTTGGATGTCTACCACTCACATTAGGGGCCTGGATGAAGCTCTTGCTTCATTCCTGGCTTGACTGGCCCAGCTCCACCCAGGTGTTAATGCAGGTGAAACAGCAGATGGAAGATCTGACTCTATCCCTGTGTAGCTCTTTAAAAATACATGTCAAATAAAAATCAAGCTTTGTTAATTCTTCGGGATGATAAAAAAAAACTGTCAAACCTGTTTAAAAAACAGAACTTTAAGATGTATCATTCTGAGGAACAATATTATGAAGAGCAGGCTACAAAAACAATTTTTAAGGTTCACAGATCCAACAAATAGTTGCTAATCCTTTATGAAAACCAAACACAGTTAAAAGACATTTCAATCAGAGTCTATTGTGGAAGAAGTAGGAGGAGAGAAGGGAAGGGGTGGGCGGAGACAGCGGAAGGAAAGGTGAACACCAGAAAAGAAAGCCATGTGCCCATAAAGAAAATGAGCAGAATGGCATTCACTGTGCGCAAATTCTCTCTCCAAATCAGTATTTCTTCATATTGTCATCTTAACCCAGAATACCTGCTAACTCCGCAGGCTGAATGAGCCGACTTCCACTTCTCACATCAGCAGCTCCCGGACAAGCTTAGCCTCCCTCCACTCACTTGTCATCAGGCCTGTCTACCTGCTTTCTCATTGCCACCAGCCCAGCACAGTCACACCTGCACTTTACGCCAGTGGTTCATTGATTGTGTGATAGAAGGGGCAAGTCATGGGCATGCCAGGAAGACCAGTCCCAGGGAGGCACTTAGTGAAGATGTGCACCACCTGAGGAACTGCATCCTGCTGCAGGACAATTCCAAAAACCCAGTCTGCATTCCTTAGGAATCACTCCAATTGCTTCAAACCTTCCATTGAAGCTATCAGAACAAACATCACAAGGAACCAAGATGAAATAATTAAGTGTCGGGCCCAGCCTAGTGTCCTTGCCTAGCATGTGCCCGGGATCCCGTATAGGTGCCGGTTCTAATCTCAACAGCGCCACCTCCCACCCAGCTCCTGGCTTGTGGCCTGGGAAAGCAGATGATCCAAGCCATTGGGATCCTACACCCACATGGGAGAAGCAGAAGAAGCTCCAGGCTCCTGGCTTCAGATCAGCTCAGCTCTGGCCACAGGGGCCATTTGGGCAGTGATCTTTCTCTGTCTCTCCTCCCCTCTGTATGTCTGGCTTTCCAATGAAAATAAATAAATCTTAAGAAATAAATAGGTATCCTTTTACATGCACCACATACAGAGAGACAGACGACCTGTTTATTTTTAATCAACAAGAATCTTCAGTGACCTATTGTACATTCAACATATAAAAATACACCAAGGCAGCAGAAAAATGTTAGCCATGACATTCCCTATAAGATTTTTTTTTCCTGTAGGATGTGACACTTCAGATAGAAGTCTGATCCAGAAAGCGAAATAGGGAAGTGGTAAGGTCAAAGCAGTTCTGTGCCAGTCTAGGATGGCAACACGTCTGCCCCAGCATCTGTGGGCTAGTGTCTATGCACATATTTGAGTCGGTAACCAGTGGCTCCAAGTGAGCCAAGTCCTCTGAATACCTCAGGTCTGAGATCATTTTACACTCTGGCAAAATAAACACACTCAAACATTGCACACATTCAAGCAGTCCTAATTGCAGCTTTAAATAAACAGAAAGCACTGGCTAGTTTTCATCACCAACCAGACATACACAGGTTGTAAGGCATCTCTGCCTCAAACACAAAGGGTTAATGTGTAGTCTTCTTACATTTCCAAAGTTCAAGATGCTTCCTATGAACACAAACACAAGGATGTGGGTATGCTTTCAGTGTGTCCCATAAGGATTCATGTGTGAAAAGCTTGCTCCCATGAGTTGATCTAGGAGGGATCGGAGGCCTGGCACAATGGCTCAATTGATTGATACTCTGCGTGCAAGTGCCAGCATCCCATATGGACACCAGATCATGTCTCAGCTGCTCCGCGTCCTATCCAGCTCCCTAATTGTGGTCTGGGAAAGATCAAGATGGCCCAAAGCCTTGGGACCCACCCTGCACCCACATGAGACCTAATAGATACTCCAAGCTCCTGGCTTCAGGTCGTCTCAGCTCCTCTCTGTGTACCTCACTTTCCAATGAAAATAACCTGTTAGGGTTACACCAGTTAGGGTGTTAGGCACAGCACATATCCCACACTGCGATGCCTACTTCTGAATTGTGCAGGGATGATGGCTCAGGCACTTCGGTCCCTGTCACCACATGGGAGACCTGGATAGAGTTCCAGGTTCCTGGCTTTGCCCAGTTGTTACAGACATTTCAGCAGTAAAGCATGGAACATTTCCATCTATTTTACAAGCAAATTTTTAGAAAGATTCAATTCTTCCACCACTGATAAATATTTAAGTCCGGGGTTGGGGGGGGGGGGGTGAGAGGCAACCATCCCTGAATACACACACATGCATGCAAATATTTCTCCCCCACACCCCCCTGGAAAGCACTGTGCAGGCAGGGTGGTGCTGGACTGCTTTTAACATGGACAGAGCTGACTAAACCATAGAACATTCATTATCTCCTACCGCCTCAACATGGCCTTCCCTTGGCTTGCATCCACTCAACGCCCTCCCACCCACTACTTGCAGAATGTCTCTCTACTGCCATATGGACCAAGATCATGAGTCATCTGTCATCCCAGATTCTCCTCTTGACCTTTCCACATCCAGTCACCTTTAGCACCCCCACCAGGCATGTCCTTTGCAGTGCACGTGCCTGCAAACTGTCCAACACAGCAACCCAGCTATTCCCTACCCTCCTCTCTTTGCCAGATGGACTGGCTCCAAGGCCTAAGAGAGAAACTACAACTGAAAAAATGACCAGATTGGTTTTCAAGGAGAGAGACTCAAGCTTACTCCATCAGGAGACTGACGCAGTTGACTAAAAACAGACCTGTGCTGCAAAGCAGTGTCAGTTATTCGCCCTGAGATTGGAAAAGCTGGGGCAAAAGCACACCCTGGAAGACACCCTGGGAAGCCAAATACTGTTACGTCACATTTCATGTAGTCACCTCTCAAAAAATTCAGGACCTGTACACCAGCCACAACAACTAATGACAAAACTCTCAGTGACTTAGCACCTGCTACCTGGAAAGCATTCCTGCAAGCAGCTGCCCGTCATTCATTACCTTCATGTTTTTCAAAAACTCCTTTCTGCTTCATCTTCTTATGACGAATTGGTGGGAAAGGTGGCCTGCCTCACAGTAATCGGCAGAGCCTGGCACCAGACTTAGCTATACACCTGCCTTCATGTTGGGTGTGACAAACACCTTATTTACTGGTCATGGCTTATTTACTATTAAATTTGTCATTAAAATGTAGAGTCTGGAGAAACTAATAAGTTTGAGGAAGTATAGAAGGAGAGCAAAGAAACCCAAAAGCTCAGAACTCAATAAATGCCAACCCTATGGCTGTGGCATCTGACCTCAGTGCCTGTCAGCCCTGATCAACTTCCCTCCTCAATGTACTCTCAGATGAATGGTGGCTCTACATCTAACTGCTGTTGTCTGCATAGGTCCTCAACATCCCTTAGCCAGTTATTCCAATCAGTGTGCTTCTGTATAATTAACCATCTCTCCCCTGGGCCAGAGTTAGAGAGAAAGAGGGACAGGGAGAAAGAGAGCGAGATTTTCCAACTGTTGGTTCCCTCGCCAAATAGCCACAATAGCCAGGGCTGGGCTTGAATCAGGAGCTTTTCAAGTCCACCACATGTCCAGTAACTAGATTGGAAGTGGAGCAGCTAGGGCTTGAATCCACAACCACTGGGAATGCCAGTATCTCAGTATCATAACACTGGCCCTAGTAATGAAATTTTTGTTCTTCTTTACACAGCTGACACCCCACTTGGGATATAATCACCATAGAAATATAATCACTCCTTAGAAGTTACCAATAATGCTGAAATAAGCATATCTAAAAGGTGTGTAGGGTTGGTATTATAGCACAGTGGGTTTAAGTTGTTGTGAGGGACATGCACATGCTGTATCAGGGCACCTAGATGTTAGTCCCTGGCTACTCTCCTTCTGAGTCACCTCCCTGCTATTGCATCCTGCTAATGCCCGGAGTACTTGGGCCACTGACATTCACACAGCAGGTCAGAATGGAGTTCCACACTCCCGGCTTCAACCTGACTCAGTCTTAACTGTGGCAGGACTCAGCAGATGGAGTCACTTACTATGTCCCTCTCATGCAAGCAGGTACATGCATACACACATAAACAAAACTGTTCTCCAAAGGCAACCCTTAAAATCACACTTGTTTCTTACACACTAAGAGAATTTCTCAGGTGTTCAGGCTCTGTCAATCTGACGAGTGGAAAAGGAACGTTACAACTTGTGTGCTCCATGACAGACCTCTGCCTTAAGATGAGTTACATTTATGACTTAGTCATGGTATCAGAGGTCACGCTCGAAAGACGAAGTGCAACGGGAATTCAAGGACAGTTTTCTTTGGGCCAGTGAGGGGTCTGGAGACTAACTACAGGAGAGTATGAAGTAAGGATCGCATATATGGTTTTCCACTAGGCTTACTCACCGTCCAGAAGCCAGTGCTGGCCACTCCTGCTCTCCAGCTCCGAGAGCATCAGGCGTGTGATGACGTGATCTGGGACCAAAAGGCCTCTCTCTAGGTATTTCCTGGCCATATCACCAATTTCTACAAAAGACAAGAAAGAGACACTCAACAAAGATTCCAAAATAATAGTTATGAACTCTTTTCTTTCTCATCCTCCCTGGTATAGGAGGAGAGTTGCAGTCAGCCTTTATTTTTGAAAGACTAACTTCAACAATCATGCATGGTTGCTTATTTAAATCTTTCAAAGCAGCTCTCAAAGACACTCATAGCTAAGAAGGGAGATAGAATTTGAGTAGCAACAAAAGCTGGAGGGAGGGTCACACACATCCCCCATCCACTTAGTGATAACTTGGTAGAGTCCGAGTGCTTCCTACATGGCACATGGAAGACTAAAGCAGAATGAGACTCACTTTAGGGACTACTAAGAGCACAGGCCCCAACAGGTTGCTGTCTTTTCACAAGCCTCCATCTAAGCAGATGGCAAATTGATGACACATTTGTAAAAGTTAACTAAGCATTATTTGTAGAATGCCAAGCTCATAAAAAGACAGGATTTTTAAAAAGAACACTTTGAGGAAAAAAAAACCTGTTTCTCTCTTAATTTAAAACTAACAGTTTCTCACATGTACAAATGGTGAGTGTATTGTACAGGACAAATTAAGTTTTAATCTGTACATTTCTAGGAACTAAATTTTCTTTAAGATACACACATATGAAGTCATTACTCTCCAGGAACTTACAATGAACCCTCAAAGAGCTTAGGCTAATTAAGTTCTCATAAAAACCGCAAAGCAGGATTTTACTACTAGAAAAAAACCACTTTCACCTCAAGTTTCGATAGGGCATTTGCTTCCCAGAACTTTTAAAAGATTTATTTATTTCATTGGAAAGTCAGATATATACAGAGAGGAGGAGATGTTCTGTTCGATGATTCACTCCCCAAGTGACTGCAATGGCTAGTGCTGTGCCAATTCAAAGCCTACAACTCAATTTTATCACCATTGGAAATGTAGCTCAAAATGCAGCCCCCACGGTTACAGAGGCAGCAATATTCTGCCAGAGCAGACGCAAAGACAGCTGGACATGAAAGAGGGAACAACATCCATTACTGATTACTTGCTATATAGAAAATTCTAAAGTTCCTTTAAGAGCCTCAGTAGCAACTGCTAACAGAGCAAATACTTTGAACTGAGGCACCTAGTGTGTGGATTCTTTCTATTTTGGGTCTATGAGTCGCACACACTATCTTTAGGGATTGAACAGTTTGGTTCCTAAACCCTTTGGATTATGGTTTGAGGATTAAAGGGTTCACAGGTTATGGAAGCTGGACTAAGGGTTGAGCTTGATCCAAATTTGGCCACTGGGAAGTGATCAGATTATTTTTCTGAGGCTGGAGCCTTTCTAAGATACGTGATTGTCCCTCCATCCTCTAGCGGTTAGGTATGTCAGAAGGTCCTTGGAAGTTTGGCACTGCTAACCTACCTTGGTTAGGCAAAAAAAACTATGTTTTTAAATCAACATCCAGCCCATGGCTGGGGAAGACATAAACAAAGATATCTTCTAGGATGGGAGACCAAGGTGGAACTCTGCACTGGTTTTCTAGAACTCAAGATTTCAGATATCATATGTTGTTAATTTCACAGGACAGTCATATGAGGCAAGCCAGTTCAGGAAGAGGGTAAGAGGAAGATGTGCCATAAACAAATGCTGAAGATGAGCCACAACAGGGAGAGATGGAGATGGACAGGCAGAAGAGTCTATGGCACAGACTGCAATGCTGGCCACATACAGGTACCAATTTGATTCCTAGCTGCTATAGTTCCAAACCAGCTTCCCAAATACTTTACTTGAGCGTTATGCGCCCTCGTGCGCTCTCTCTCGCCTGGCGCGGTGACCTAATGGCTAGTCCTTGCCTTGAAAGCACCAGGATCCCATATGAGCACTGGTTCTAATCCTGGCAGCCCCTCTTTCCATCCACCTCCCTGCTTGTGGCCTGGGAAAGCAGTTGAGTACAGCCCAAACCCTAGGGACCCTGCACCCACATGGGAGACCTGGAAAGAGGTTCCAAGCTCCTGGAGAAAAGAATTGCGGAAAGCATGCCTGTCACTCGAGACCAAAAAGATCTGCTTGGTAACTGAGACCTCAGGAAAAATCAACTTTAATCAACCAGAAGATGCTTGGGATCAAACCCAAACTACTGTTGGTATTTTAAGCAAGAGCAAATGAGGTCTTGTCTCATAGAAAGGTTGTCTTACTTCTGTATTTATGGTACACTGTCTTCATTATGTAACCTTAAGGACAATGACTCTTATATTTTGAAGGAAAGCTTAAGCTATGTGATGACTGAGGCAGCACTTCCCAGGGAGCTCCTGTCCCACCTCTAATCATTGCCTCATCCCAAGTTACAATTACTCAGAACAAGGAGTGGAAATGCTCTGAATATGCTGCTTCTCCAAACAACATTTCCTGCACGTCAATCAGTATCCTGATAGGTGCAATAGAGCACCCTCAAGAAAGTCAAACGGAGAGCAAACAAACCCATGAAAAACATAGGTAACATAAGGTATAGAGTGCTGTCGCGCCCACGTTTCTTATCGTCCGGCGATAAGAGGCAGACGCAAGTGAAGTCTTCTGCGGTAATCTTTATTGCGCACACCAAGATGAGGAGGGAAAAGGCTCCGACCCTGGCAGGCTGTCTGCTCTCATGTGCTGACTGGCCCCGCCTCCGCCGATGATAGGTCGGTGTCATGATTACGCAGGGTCCTGGGCGACTGGATTCGTCAGTCCCAGTGTTCATGCGCGGCCACGCCTCAGCTCACTGCGCATGCGCTAGGCGCCTGCGCAGTACCGTGAAAGCTACGTAACTCTCCATCAGGAACCAAGGTGTGGCTTTTCCGGCCAGCGCCATTTTGGGTACGGCATGTAGCCAGTACATACAGATGCGGCTGGCAACAGAGTGCAGCCAAATTCACATAAACACACAGTAGAATTGATGGCTGCCAGGAGCTGGAGAAGAGATATGGGAAGTGTAGAAATCGGCCAGACAAGAATGCACTCACCACCACTGCATTGTGCTTGAAATAGGTATGATGGCAGATTTTGTGGTACACTTTTTAGAATATATTTACTTAGGCTGGTGTTGTGGTAGCAGGCTAAATCACTGCCTAAAACACAAGCATCCTACATTAGCATCAATTCAGTTCATGTTCCAGCTGCTCCACTTTCCATGTTGCTTCCTGCTAAAAACCTGGGAATGAAGCAAGATGGCCCAAACCCTGGAGCCCCAGCAATTCCCATGGAACACATGGATGAAGTTTCTGGTTGCCGACTTCAGCCAGCTTCTGCCCCGGCTGCCTACCATATATATTCTGGTTCACTCCTTAGATACCACCAAAGGCCTGAAGTGGGCTAAGCAGGAGCCAAGAGCCAGGGACTTAATCCAGATCTCACACTCCTGCTGTATGTGTTTTAAAGCACTTTATTTTAGTACAGTAAGCTGTTAGAAGACAGGATCACGTGAGGCATGGATGGGGGGATGGTTAGAGCGGGAAAGAAGGCTAAAGCAGGAGATGCATGATCACACCTGCTTAGACATAACTGAATACACGAGATAATTGCAGGTATGAAAACTATTTTAGAAACAATGTGGACATCAGGAGTGAAGGATAAGCATGAGTAGTCACGTGATCAACTTAGAAATGCTACTCTAAGGGGTCAACGTTGTGGTCTATGACATGAGCATTCCACTTCTGATCCAGCTCCCTGCTAATGGGTCTAGAATACTAGCTGAATATGGCCCCAGATGCTTGAGCTCCTGCACCCATGTGGGAAATCTGAATTCCTGGCTCCTGGAATCAGTCTGTCCCAGACCTGACTGCAGCCATTCTGAGGAGTGGATTTAGTACATGGATGATTGTTCTGTCTCCTCCCCTCTCTTTCAAATACATACAGCAGAAATGAAAGACCAGACCATTCCTGGCACGGGAGTCCCTGACACTACTAAAGTGAGAAGAGGGAGCCCATTACCTACTCTGAAATATTACCTAGTATGAAGAGCTCAGGAGGGAAGAGATGAAGTAGAGGAAGGAGCCACAGGAGGGCGCACATGGTCTTAACCAGCCTGCCCAGAAGCCAGACCTCTCTTAAACAGCCCCACAGAGGAAAAATCATTGGAACCTGCCTCTAAATTGACTCAGGAGACATGTTCAAACAAAGCAACTGCCTTAAATCTAGGTTAATCAAACTAAACTTTTGGCTAACTTTAGTATCTGGCACCAATTTCAGCAAGCAATGAAATGATGCATATGGGCAACGCGTGATATGTGTGGACAGCAGCAAGGCTGGCTTTGCCCAAGAGGACTCTGTACCTAACCTTTGGTGTAACCTCGAAAAACAAACAAATTTCAAGCTCAGGGTTGCTAATTAAGCAACTGAAATCCTCAGGGTCATGTTGCCTCTAGTATGAATCTTTTTCACGGCCTCAAAAGATAAAGATTTAGTGCTCCACCCTGCAGTCAGAATGGCCCAGTTGGTTCATCTGAATCTGTCTCAGCCTTCAACAGGATCCCGCAGCTCACTCAGTGGTGTCCTGGACCTTTGAGATGTTTTTGCCTACTGCAGCAGCCTCCCAACTTTGTATCTTTATCCATAGACCCCAGGTCATGCCATCACAGCTCTCAAAACCAGCCACACTACCCTCCTCACCTCACCAACCTCCCCTTGACCTGGTGCCACTGTTCTCCCCTCATGCTCGGCACATCTGTGTCTTTTATTTCTCATGCCAGTCTGCTCATCATACAACAGGGAATCACTAATGTGTGTCTCATACATCACTGTCTTGGCTGCTTGGGAACGGTATTTAATATATAGCATGCATTCAATGCTTTTGAAGATGGACCATTCCTCCCAACGTCATTCACTCACTAGAGAAGGACCACAGCTAATTGTATCTTTTGCAATAGCACTAGTGACTCAAAACAGGACAGTCAAATTTATAAATGCCACAGCCGCCACGCTGTACAGATGATTAAGAACTTGCATAGGGGACTAATCTCTCCGGGTTAGAATTTCCTCAGTCACCT